GGCTCTGTTTCCCCTTCCCTCTTCTGTGTTCTGGTCAAACTCAATTATATACTTCCTTAAAAAAATTAAGAGTAGGAGGGACCTGTTCTGACTTTCTTTATATATATATATATATATATATATATATATATATATATATATATATATATAGCAAACAAAATAATTAATGGAGAATCTATAGATGCCATCCCATTAACAAAAAAAATCTATCATCGCAGTGATTTAATATAATATTGGAGGTTATGACCAATATTATAAGACCGACATAAAAGAAAGGCATAAGAAATGTATGAATTTGAAAGAGATATATAAATTCCATTACTTGTAGAGAATATAATTAACAGACAAACCTAATAGAATAGTCACATTTTCAAAACTAATAAGAGAATTCAGAAAGCTTTCTACATTTGCGACCAACAATAACACAACAAATTCAAAACTTATGGAACTCTTGCTATATATACCTAATTAGAAAATTAAATAATAGGAAAAAATAAGATATCCCTTAAAATAATAAGATCTAACAGTTTCTAGGAAACAACCTAACACAGAAAGCACAAAATTTTACAGAGAATATTTAAAAACTCTTTAAAAATATAAAGAAAGTTTTGACTGAATGAAGATATACCATGTCCATATTTGGGGTAATTTAACATGATAATTGTACCAGTCTACCTCACATTAGCTTCCAAATTCAATGCAGTCCCAAATCAAATCCCAGCAAGACTTTGGGGAAAAATTGGTATAGTTACTTACATTTATAATGGAAAAAACTTTCATGAATTGCTAATTGCTTTGAAAATCAACTTGAGAAAAAGTGGCAAAGAGAAAGGATTCACCCTATTAGATATTAAGACATACTTTAAAGCCATAGTAATAAAATGGCATGGTATTGTTGTAGGAACTGATAAGTAAAAAACAAGCAACAGAAAGAGAGCTCAGAAATACATTTAAGTGTATATGGTAATTTGATATATGATAAAGATGCCCCTCAAAATATTAGAAAGGCAACAGATTTTTTTTTTACTTTATAGTGAGCTACTTTGCTAATTGAAGAATATAGCTGGATCCTTACCTTATACAATATACAAAGGTAGAATTTAGACAGATTAGACATAAATGGGAGAGGTAAAGCTAAATGTACAGTATTTAATGTAATCTAAGGAGGCAAGCAATTTTTTAAAATGGAAACCCAAAAGCAAAAAAAAATTGGCTTTTACTGTATTATGATTAAAAATTTCTGGTTAACAAAGAATATCATAGACAATGTTAAATGATAGATGACAGATAGATGATATTTAAATCATTAAACCAACAAGGGATTAATATCTAGGATACATAAAAATGACCACTAATTATCAAGGAAAAAAAACAACAAGAAACCCAGTAAAAAAATGGAGGGCCGGCCAAGTGGCGCATTAGTTAAGACCTGGCTTGGGACGCCAGAGAGCCCCAGTTCGGATCCCACATATGAGGGCCAGTGATACTGCCCTCTACAGCTAAGATGCTGAACAACAGCTCAACTTGGAGCTGGGCTGCCATGAGTCGCTGGTGACGGCTTAGGCTGCAACACCTGCTGCAGTGGGTTGCCATGGGCTACCGTGTGTAGCCTGCAGCCAGCACGAGTGGCTGTCCCGAAGCCGGCGATTGATCTGCCTCGCCCGGGAAGAGTGCAATGATGGTGTCAACTAGGGCCAGTGAAACAACGTCCTCCACAACTAGACTGAAGAACAAAAGGACAGCAACTTGTCTGTTCCCCTTCCCCCAATACCCCAATAAAAATCTTAAAAAAAAAAAAAGAAAAATGGAAAAAGGGTATAAATATATGAAGAGTCTCAAAATCACAAATAATAACAAGTATGTCAATAAAAAACAATGAGATGTCACTTTAGCACCACAAGAATTGCAAAAATTATAAAAATGTGTAATACCAAGGGTTACTGATGTTGTAAGCAGATAGGTCTTCTTGTGTACTGTTCTTGAGAGTCTTAATATTACAGACTTCAGTAAGTGGCTTACTTATAAAAGCTTTTTAAAGTCATATTTTGTAATTCTATTCATTGTAGTACTGTGGTGATCATCAATGTACCAATTCAAAAATATTCCCATTTTAAATCAGTATGGAGGTACCTCAAAAATCTGAAAATGGAACTACCTTATGACCCAGCAATCCCACTCTTGGGTATTTATCCAAAAAATCCCAAGACATTAATCCAAAAAAATATATGTACCCCTATGTTCATTGCGGCGTTATTCACAATAGCTAAGACTTGGAAACAACCAAAATGCCCATCGGTAGATGACTGGATTAAGAAACTTTGGTACATTTACACAATGGAGTATTATTCAGCTATAAAGAAGAAGGAAATAGGACCCTTTGCAACAATATGGATGGAACTAGAGAACATTATGCTAAGTGAAATAAGTCAGAGAAAGACAAATATCATATGATCTCACTTATTCGTGGATTCTAAGGAACTGAATGGATGGGAGAAGTGGATGGAGATAGTCTCAGAGACACAGAGGAAGAACTGAGGGTTGTTAGTTGGGAGGGGGTGGGGATGAAGGAGAGGGAAGGGATGAGACAATACAAATTGGTAATGGTAATATGGCCTCAGGGATAGAAAAAGACAGTCCAAGGAATATAATCTATAATGTTGTAAGTATTTCTTAGGGGGCCAGATGGACCCATGTCCTTTTGGGGAGTCCACTTCATAGTCGATGTAGAGGCCTGACCACTGCATTGTATTTCTGAAACTGATGTTGAATAATACTGTATGTCAACTATAATTATATATATACATATAGTCTCGGGACATGGAGTAGAGAGCGGGAACGGATTCAATGGAATTGTAATAGATAAGCATGATATCGGGTGTGGGAGGGCAATAGATGGGGGGAGGGGGGTTGTTACCTGGTGAGGGTGAAAAGGGTAACTAGTGTATTGTTCTGTACACCTGAAACTAACAATAAAAAAATCCCATTTTAATATATATATATATATATATATATATATATTCAGTTTCTATAATGGATGCATGCTTTGTGATTCTTAGAATTACAAATAGTGCTAGAAAATATTTCATATATTTTTGTGTACATGTGAAAGTATATACAAAGGAAAGAAAACACCCAATGCAACTATACTATTTCCTTTGTTATTCTGTGACTACCAGTGTTCTTGAGACAAGAGCTAGAAGATCAACACAAAGATGGTGTGCTGGTGTTGGCTTAGAGTTAAGGTGAAAAGGACAAATAACCCTTTATTGAGCTCCAGAGTGTACCAGGTACCAAGCTGGGCACTTTAAGTTGTCTCATTGAATCTGTACAACGTTATGAGGAATTAGGTATTATTATCCTATTGTATGGAAAACGAAAGAGGTTCAGAGGGGTTAAATAAGTTAAACAATATTAGAACCCTGGTCTGTTTGGGCTGGTGCTTTTTCACATTAACAGTTTGAAACTGACAAACAAAGCTGGAGAAAACTTGGTTAGCAAACATCAAAAAGTAGACTGACAGAGATAAGTTTATTGAACTTGTATTTTTTCTGCTTACCAGGAATGCCTATGCTGATAACAAGTTTAATTGCCTGAGAGATATAAATGCAAAATGTGGTGAAATGAGTGGCTTTATAGTAAGGACTCTGTCTTTTCTGTATTCATTCACATTAAGAAAGAGGTGACCTGTAAACCTTGGTTTTTTTGTCTTTTGTTTTTTTTTTGTTTTGTTTGCCTACCATGGATGATTCTTTTAACTGGGCTGAAATCTACAGACCCCAAAATGCATCTCCAGTGATGAAATTTCAGGTATCAGCCCAAACAGCAGGGGAGGTATTTTATTATGCAGGGGTGAGAGGAGTGTTGGGGAACTTCTTAAGTCTCTAAATTAAATCAAATATGCAATTGTCTTCTCTGCCTCCATGTGTTAACAATTTTGATTATTAGAGAAATAACACTGGTTTTTGCTGATACACATAGAGATTGTTTTTAGAAATAGATATGTTTTGGAAATTAACATTGGGACAATTTGGGGGTTTTTTAAGGTTTTTTTTAATGCAGCTATGAAGTATTTATTAAGAGAGAAAATTTTAAACTAAACAACTTTCTCTTTTTCCTTGCAGCAGAGACATATGGAAGGACCATTTCTTCAAAAATGAGCATCACGCATGAGGAGGTTTTTTTTTCTAATAGTAACTCTGAGGCCTGGGGCTGACAAGATGGGCTTAGAGAACCTCTTGCCTCCTCAGCAGCTCCGGCTCATTGTGATTGGGCTTTCTCTGCTGTCTTTGGCAGAGACATACGGGTTCAGTAAATGTACACAGTATGAATTGGACATTCACCATGTGTTCTGCATTCGGAGGAAAATCACCAACTTGACAGATGCCATTTGTGACATCCCTGGATACACTACTCACCTCAACCTGACACAAAACCAAATTCAGATCCTTCCTTCCTATTGCTTCACTAATTTGTCTGCTCTGGTGGACTTGCGACTGGAGTGGAATTCCATTTGGAAGATTGAGGAGAGGGCCTTTTGGGGACTTGAAAATCTGACCTATTTGAACTTAGTAGAAAATAAGATTCAAAGTGTGAACAACTTTTTTGAGGGCCTGTCTAACCTGGAGACTTTGCTCCTGAGCCATAATCGAATTACCCATATTCACAAAAATGCCTTTGTCCCTCTTGTCAAATTGAAACATTTAAGCTTATCTAGAAACTCCATTACCAATTTTTCTAATATTCTTGAAGCTGTCCAGCATCTTTGCCACCTGGAACACCTTGATCTTACTAACAATAGCATTGTTTCCTTGGACCACAGCCCCAGGTCATTGGTCTCTCTGACCCTGTTGAGCCTGCAGGGGAACAAACTAAAGGAGTTAAATTTCTCTGCTTTGTCACTGCCTAATCTGACCACTCTGGATGTCTCTCAGAATAGCAATGGAGTCATCCAGCCTAGAGTCATTCAGAATGTGGCTCTGGAAACTCTGCCCCAACTGAAGAGATTGAATTTGAGTGGAACATTGGTGAAACTAGAGAATCTTCCAGCCAAACATCTACAGAATCTAAGGGAAATGGACCTTAGTAACCGAGATTTTAGACGTGTTCATCTAAATTTGAGCACAGTATGTCACCTCCTCAGAAACTTGCCCTTATTAGAGGTTTTGGTTTTTAGGAAAAAAGGCACCGACGCAGGGGGCATAAAGTACCTTGCCAACTGTACCAAGCTTTTGTCCCTTGACCTGAGCCAAAACGATGATCTGGTTCACCTCAATGACAGTGAGTTTGATGCTATGCCCAGCCTCCAAAGGCTGAATTTAAATAAGTGCCAACTTTCTTTTATCAGCAACAGGACCTGGATTGCCCTCCAGAACTTGACAGCTCTAGACCTCAGGCACAACAAATTTAACAGATTTCCAGATTTTGCGTTTTCACCCTTGAAACACCTACAATCTCTCTTTCTCTCTAAAAATCCCATTACAGAACTCAATAATATGTCCTTCTATGGACTGTATTCATTAAAGGAGCTCAACTTGGCTGGGTGCTGGATAGTGAAAATTGACAGATACTCCTTTGCTCAACTTCCAAATTTAGAGAGTTTAGACCTTGGAGGCAATAATATTCGAACTCTGAAGACCAGAACTTTTCAGTTTCTGAAGAAACTCCAAGTTCTGATTCTCTCCAAGAACCGCCTGACTGTTATAGAGAAGAATGCATTTTCTGGCCTTACTTACCTCTGTAAACTTGACCTGGCATACAATATCTTATCAAGTTTTCAGGTAGGCCTTTTTTTGGGCCTTGAAAATCTAGAAGTTTTGAATCTCAGTTTTAATAAAATTACGTATGAAACCACTAGGACCTTGAAATATCCTCCATTTATGAACTTCAAGTCTTTGAAACAACTCAACCTAGAAGGACAAATGCATGGGATTCAAGTTGTTCCAACCAACTTCTTCCAAGGGCTGGATAGCTTGCAGGAGCTACTCTTGGGAAAAAATTCCATGGTATTCTTGGACCACCTCCAATTGGACTCCTTGACTAATCTCACAAAGTTGGATATCTCAGGAACAAAATCTGGAGACCGAAGTCTCTATTTAAATATTTCCTTATTCAAAAAACTCAAAAGACTAAAAATGCTGCGCCTGGAAAACAACAACATGGAGTCACTGACTCCTGGCATGTTTTCTGGCTTAGAAAGCCTTCAGGTCTTCTCTTTAAGATTCAACAACCTAAAAGTTGTTAATCAAAGTCATCTGGAGAATCTGAAGTCTCTGATGTACTTTGATCTCTATGGGAACAAACTTCAGTGCAATTGTGACAATGTGTGGCTCAAGAACTGGTCAATAAACACAGCAAATGTCCATATTCCTTACCTCCGGAGCTATCCTTGTCAGCAGCCAAATCCCCAGAGTTTGTTGATAGATTTTGATGATGCTATGTGTAATTTTGACCTGGGAAAGGTTTACTTCTTCTGTTCATTCAGTCTGGTCCTCACAACTATGGTCTTCTCTTGGTTCAGTGCCAAGATGACTGCATCTCTATGGTATGGGCTCTACATATTTCGAGCCTGGTACATGGCCAAGTGGCATAAAACAGAGAAGGAGTTCATCTATGATGCCTTTGTCTCTTTCACTACCACTGATGAGCAGTGGGTATATGAAGAGCTTGTTCCAGCCCTAGAAGAAGGTGGTCAGCCTACCTTTAAGCTCTGTCTTCACCATCGGGACTTTGAACCAGGTGTAGACATCTTTGAGAACATTCAGAATGCCATCAACACCAGCCGGAAAACTTTGTGTGTGGTCAGTAATCACTACCTGCACAGTGAATGGTGCCAGCTTGAAGTACAGCTGGCCAGCATCAAGATGTTCTATGAGCATGAGGATGTTATCATCTTGATCTTCCTGGAAGAGATCCCAAACTACAAGTTATCCAGTTACCACCGACTCAGGAAACTTGTTAATAAGCAGACATTTATCACCTGGCCAGACAGTGCCCATGAGAGGCCACTCTTCTGGGCTCGTGTTAGAAATGCATTGGGCAACAAATCTGTAGAGAGAGACAATGCACAGCTAATTGTGGTCCAATGACTAGAAGGTTTTTTTTTACCTCAAATTCAATGTTGCTCAAGGTGTGTATCAGCTAAGATTGTGACTGAACTTACTTGCTCTGCAGGTAAAAGGACATGAGCTGCACATGATCGTAAGACCCATGATCATTTGGTTAATATCTGTCAGGAAATTGGAAGAGTGAAGGAGGCTGCTTGAGGAAGTTTCAGGAACAGTGTCCCCACTATTCACAGATTATATATCTGAAAAATATATATGTTTTATTAAGGGGAAGACTTGGCAGACAAGTAATCTGAAAAGTCTGGGGATTAGGAGATCCTTCATATGCACTTAAGAACATTGCCCAGCTAGTTTCTCCAAATCAGTTCCTGTCAAGATAGATTGAACTGTATTCCTTCTAAGAAACTGTAACAACAGAAACACCACATATAAGACTTAATAAATGCAAAAAAAGTTAGGATTCTTGTGTATTCTCCTTTAGGGCATAAGATTCCAAAGTTCAGCCTTTCCTCTAAGTCAGAGCCCAAGAGTTAAGACAATTCTAGTTTGGATCCATCAATTGACTTAATGGGAAGCTATTTGATGAACAAGCAGTGCAGTGATGGCGGCAGAAACTACCACCTAGATGTGATAAAACAGATTTCATAGACAGAGCAGTTTCTGGCAGGGATGTAGACCCCAGTGGCTTCATGCTTCAGGCACCAGACACACACCAGTGTCCTGTAGCAGGCAATGCCTATTGGAAGCAATATCCCACATAAGGGCCATGGCTCTTGTATTAGGCAAAGGTGCTACAAATTTCTGTAGGAAGGAATTTCCTACAGAAAAACTGCCACAAATTCCTGAAGCAAGAGGGACCATAGGGAGCCAAAGGAGATCAGCCTATAGTGGAAGTAGTAGGGTACCAACAATTCTCTTATTCTGATTGTCTCTCTACAAGGACTTGGTCTTTTGTTGTCGGCCCTCCTTTCTCCAAGTCTTCCCCTTATCCCTAAGATTTTAGGAAGAATTTGTTGGGGAGAAGATGCTGAGGGGCAGAATTTTTAGCGGTTGGGGTAGCAACATGTTTACTTCAGTGGACCCTAGCCAGGCCTCTTTGTAACATAAATGAAGAGAGTTCAGGATGTTTTGGACAGGACTTTTGTTAAACCATTAGCAAAAATTCCAAGGGCGGGCCGGCCGAGTGGCGCGATGATTAAGAACTGGCTTGGGACGCCAGAGGGCCCCGGTTCGGATCTCACATATGAGGGCCAGTGACACTGCCCTCCACAGCTAAGATGCTGAACAACAGCTCAACCTGGATCTGGGCTGCCGTGAGTCGCCGGCGACGGCANCATGGGCTACCGTGTGTAGCCAGCAGCCAGCGTGAGCGGCCAGCAACCGCAGTGAGCGGCCATCCAGAAGCCGGCGACTGATCTGCCTCGTCCTGGAAGAGCGCAATGATGGTGCCAACTTGGGCCAGTGAAGCAACGTCCTGCACAACTAGACTGAAGAACAAAAGGACAGCAACTTGTCTGTTCCCTTTCCCCCAATTCCCCAGCACTGTTCCCATCCCCCCAACTCCCCCCCAAAAAAAATCTTAAAAAAAAATTCCAAGGGCATTTGTGTGGGAAATTATGAGTCAACAACTGGATGATTATGACTTAAATATTACATTGTAGCAGAAAATAATTTGCAAAAAATATTACATTATTTAACTTTCTTTAAATCAATGATATCTGATTTTGAGGACTTGTTCTGCTAGACTGGTGGAAAATTCAATCTCAAGTCATTATAGTTTTGTAACCCTCACCCACTAACCCCTCATATTCTTGCATATAGAAAAATAATGTTGATAGAGAACTTTTGTAGAAAAGAAGTGAAAAATAAAACTGACTTTTTTTTGCATCCTGAAAAAAAGAAAAAGAAAGTTGGGGTAGTTCCTCCAGTCTTTGGTCTACATCTACACTAATTTCCACTTGTATGCCCACTGTCCAAGCTGGATCCCTGGAGTCTGAGGTCTCTTCTGCCTCTGGACTATGTTTGGCTTTTAATTATTGCTGAAATTGCACACAGCCATTCTCTCCTGAAATGCTATCACCTCCCTGGAGATGGAGTAGGACTTGGATCACACTACTCATGGGAAACAGCAGACCTCTATTCTTTTCCTGGTTTTGAAACTGAGCCCTAACACTGAATCCAGACCCTAATTATTTTTTCTAGTTTTTTTTCTAATGTTAAGTGTCTTTTAGGAGTTAACAGCATGCCTCCTCACAGTGCTCCAGAGACCACCATACCAAGCCAGATCAGACTGGTCTCAGAGCATTAAGCAGAAATATTTAGCAGCTTATTAACCCTAAGGTGACTTCGGGAGCACAGCAGAATCAAAATTCATGGACCTCAAGTAGCAGATATGCTACTTTTACCACCCAGAGCCTACTAAGATGTGAGGGGTCCATCAATAAGGCAGATCCGGTGCAGGGACCAAATTTGGACACACATAGGACTGACAAAGCAAACTGCCAGACTGGAATTTCTTTGTTCTCTCGCCCCCTCCACATCCCTAACCTCAGATGGATTAGTTTCAAAACTACCTAATCAGACCCCTTGAATTAGAATTAATAAATATGTATAACTTCTCTTTACCTTCACCTCTTAAAATTGATCCCAAACATTTGTTCGGGGAGACTAATTTGAGCTTAGTCTCTGGTCTCTTCATTTGGCTAGCCTGTCGAATAAATCTCTTTTTCTCTGCGAAAACTTGTTATCTCAGACTTTTGGTTTCTCTTTGTGTGTCAGGGCATTGAACTCACAGCCTTTGTTTGGTAACAGTTGGGTAATCTTCACCTCTTTGGCTGCTTCAGCCACAACTCTATGTTCTGCTCCCCACCCCTCACATGACCCACTTTTAGTTAGGAATTTTTATGTTTAGACCATCCTATGTGGTTACTTTTGGTCTCTGATACGCAGACCTCTGCTGAGCATGTCAGGTTTGGTATATGGCCCCCTTTTTGTCCACAAGTGTGTGATGTGGGGAGCACAATACATGAAGAAGGTGATGGTTGTAGCCTACTAGGAAAGTGCACATAGGTACATATGTGTGTAGTCCTCTTTTGCAGGAAAAGTGGATCATTAATAACTCAAACTGGTATGGTTTTCGAAATGATTGAGGAAATTATGCTGGAACAGAGATTAATTATATACACATATTCTGATAAACCAGATGAACAGCAGTGTTCATCTGTGTACTCGGGACTGGCTACATACATTGCAGGGCCCAGTGTAAAATGAAAATGCAGGGTCATTTGTTCAAAAATTATTCACAATTTCGAGATGGAGGTGACAGAGCATTAAAACAGGCACACTTCTGAGTGTGGCACCTTGTGTGATTTCACTAGTCACAAGCCCATGAAGGCATTCTTGCTTGTGACCATCAGCCAGGAGAATAGGCTTTGCCCTTCACAACTTATCTCTAAATAGGAAAACAGTGGGTATTTTGTAGGGAACATACAATGCAAGAATTGGGCAGCATCTCATCCAGCAACTAGAAGAGAACTCAGAGGGATAGTACAAAATTGAAGGTTTTGATAGAAGAAAGCTGGGACAAGGGAGCTATTAGCTTAAAAAAAAAAAGGGACAGGTATTTTAAGGCCAGAATTTCTTCTTTTGGAGGGGAAGGGAAAAGCAAGGGTTTATCATTGCAGATTTGCTCTTCTTCCTTTGTGTGTGTGGGGAATGGATATGGCCCATGTGACAGAATACCTTACTGGTGCTTGACCAGAAAATTCCAGACTGGGTGATTAAGATTACATTTGTGATACAGGTTGAAACTGCAAGTAGGTCAGGTATTAAGTCTAGGTTTGGTATCATGGGCTGTAGCATAAGTGATGCCATTTTGTGCCTATGGTTTCTTCTTTAACACATGTACACATATTTACTTAGCTGGGATACAGGGAAATTCATTTCCTAGACCAAATTACTAGAACTACAGTAATTTTTAATGAAGCCACAGGGGCTGTAATTATTTTAAAAAGATATTTGGAAATGATTATATAGTTAATTTCTCTATCAACCAATCTGAAGTAACAAGAGGTTCAAATTGCAACTGAAAATAATTAGGATGAGAAAAAGAGAAATTTTCTTGCCAGTAAAGGTAGGAATACCAGGGGTGACCCCCCAAAAATGTATACAAGTGGACACTTTGGTCAATGTTCCTCAAGCAGTAGTTTGCCATAATCAGAGTTGTCTGGATTACATCACAGAAATGGTGGCATGAGGTGAGTCTCTTGAAATCTCCCCCGGAATTTACAACACATTGAACAACTATAATTCCACAAGGACTTCCTGTGCCGCACACAGGCAAGACTAAGAGACATGCAAATGAAATCATCTAAAGGTGTGCAAACTGGGCAAGCAGTGGAGAAGGGTAGAGGGAAGTGTGGAGACGTGGGCTGAGAGGGCTGCGGGACACAGACCAGAGCTCTGAGCTTCCTGCATTCTAGAGTTACAGCAGTCATGGGAGAGGGAAGAATTTGGACTGCTAGCGCTCTCCTTATGGCCCACAGTCCAGCCCGAGGAATCAGCATATAACACAGCTGAACCCAAAGCTCACGGCAGAGACTTCAGAGCAAAGACTGAGGGGAGAAGCGTGAGAATGTTGGTTTAAGCCCTCACTGCCAAGCAGAGGACAGAAGACATAGGCACAGAGCCTATCCAACCCCACCCAACCCTCCCAGAGCTCGCCACAATCCACCCTCCCAGTACTAGAAGCGGACGAAAGTAGTGTCACATCAAAAGAACAGAATATTTACAGTTCTGAGAACTGCACTCCCAGCTACAGACTCACAGCCCAACTAATTCCAGTGAAAGGGAAAGAACCTTAGGTGCAAGATTAACTGTGCTGGTAGTCTCTACCATTGCTCAGAGCCATGTCTCAAACCCACACCACCCCTGCCCCCACCTATCTGGGCAGATACCAGCAGGGATAAACAGAGCCACTGAAACACAAAGGCTCTGAATCTGGTTGCAGAAAGAACTTTGGGGCTCAGAAGCTCTCCACATCTGCCCCTAGAGGCGGTGCACTGAGAACCAGGTGACATACTCACAGAAGAAAAGCCCACCTTCCAGGAAAACCTCCCCC